CATAACGAAGAATGAATGGTCAGGAGTGGTCATACTGGGAATTAATATCAAAGTAAGTAAACTGAGCTACGGAGACAGAAGATTAAGGTAGAAGTAAAAAAGACACAGGGATAAAGACACCAGATAGTCTTCAAGTGACAATCAGAACAATAGCCTCTGACTCAGAAATTCTGATCCTGAAGAAGCCTGTTTTCTTTTGTTGTCTTTGGATGTCTGGAAACTGCAGCATCTTTTTTACTTGAGTGTTTGCTTCTTATATCCAGGGTAAAGACTGGAATAGAAAGTATTGTAAAGGTAAAAAAATAAAAGTGTGATGGGGGATGTAAGGAAGAGCACACTTCTAATCTAAGAATCCTATATCTTCTATATAATAATAAACTTGCCCCCAAAAATAAAAATATTAGGGGATGAGGATATGTGCATGTACATCACACTATTATTTATATGCACGTGCGCACACACACACACACACACATCAACACAGACATATATTAGTCTTATTTATAAATAGAGAAAAGTAGGAAACAATCTCAACATTCAAAATTCTGTTAACCTAATCATGATGTATTCATACTGGCAAGATTATGCAGCCATTAAAAGCTATACAGAAGTACAGATATCCTCTTCTACCTGAACCATGCTCCCTGACTCAGAAACCAAATAGAGATAGCATGGGATAGTTGTTTTCAATAACCTGGAAAGATGTTTGTGATGTTAGGCTTTTTCATTAAAAGTAGCACTTAAATATGTTTGTATATACACACTTTCCATTCTGTCTGTAATGTTCACTTCTTTTTTGCGACTCTTATAAACAATAAAAACTCGAAAATATTAAATGCAGATTTTCAAAGATTACAGGGTATGATATGGATGCCAAGTCCTGACTCTATTTTAGGACTGAGGGGTATTGTGATTAAGAAAGCAAGCAGTCGGGAAGGAAAAAAGAAAGGGTAAATGAGATGACCTAAGATTATGAAGGAGGGGACCTGGGGCTTTATACCAGCTAAAAGTCTTACTGCCCAGTAACAGTCACTCTCTAACATTAACATTTTATTCTAGCCAATCTCTCCAATGTCTTCCCCCTAACATATTCACTCATTTTCCTATAATGCATTCATTCTAATTCTCTATGGTTGACTATCCTTCATCATGCCTTTGTTCAATAGCAATTCCACTCTCAGTTCCTTCAAAAAGCAGACTATTCTAGACAACAGGGATTGCTCCCTGCCTTGAAAATAGGAACACTGTCAAATTCAGGGGTCTACCTAAGAGTCATTCAAAAATCTCTACACTTCTAGTTATGCACTGCAGTGCCAAATAGGCAGCTCCAAGAGCATAAAAAAGGCACTTCCCCATGAGGGAAATCACACAAGATTAAAATGTAATCAATGTCTATGACGTGACCCCTTCCATACCTTAAATATAAATCTGGAGGCAGAAGAATAAAATGGCAGCACAAAAAGCAGAAATCAAATGACTTGTGTTGTATTCTGTCTAAAGACAGATTAAGAAAGGGCAATTGGGGGCTGGAGTCATACCACAAGTGGTAGAGCACTTGCCTAGTATGTGTGAGGCATTGAGTTCAATTCTCAGCACCACATATAAATAAATGAAATAAAGGTCCACTGACAACTAAAAAAATATTTTTAAAGAAATTAATTTAAAAAAGAAAAGGAAAAAAAAAAGGGCAGTCAGGTGGTGCTTACCTATAATTCCAGCAATTTGGGAGGCTGAGGGCTGAGGAAGGATGATGCTAAGTTCAAGGCCAGCCTAATCAACTTAGCAAGAGACCCTGTCTCAAAACTAAAAGAGGCTGCGAGTATAGCTCAGTAGCAGAGCATCCCTGGATCCAATCCCCAGTTCTGGGGGTGGGGGTTGGGGATAAGAAAAGGTATTATGTTAGTGAGGCAAATAATACCTCACTTACCACTCATTCTTGACCACTTCTCCCTTTGTGAATCATAAAAGTATAAGCTAAAACACTCTACCACTCACTGTGTGTACACATATACATTTGGCAATACTGGGGATTAAACCCAGGGCCTTGCACATGCTAGGCAAGTATTCTCTACCACTGAGGTACATCCCCCACTCCAATTCAGCTTTCTTGAAGCTAAGAATGGTCACTGACATTTTGGTGAAACAGATAAAAGCCCCTGAGGAGGGATTTCCTTTCTATTTTGCCATTCCAGGTGCCTGGAATATGAACATAATGTCTGGAGGTGCAACAGCTATTCTGTAACCAAAAAATGACAGGAAAATGGAAAGTAGAACCCTAGATCCTTGCAGGGAACATGCTACACAGTCCAATCTGCCCATCTCCGGACTTCTGGTATGTCAGAAAAACTCCTATTTGGTTTTTTTTGGCTTTCTCCTTCCTTTTTTTTTTCCCACCAGCAATTGAACCCAGGGGCACTTTACCACTTAAGACAAACTGGCTTGGAATCCTCCCACCTCAGCCTCCCAAGTTGCTGGGATTACAGACATGCGCCACCACACCTGGCACAAACTCCTATTTGTTAATGTCACTTGCACAGCAGGTTTTCATTTCTGTGAAGCTGTGGGCATTCCTACATGGAACTTAGAACAGTGGTTCTCAACTATCTTTCTTCCTCAACAAATATGAAGGACAGAAAACATACCCTTTACTAAGTTACTCATTATAGCTCTGATTCTCAACTTGGCAGACATCAGAAGTTTGAAAAAGGGCAGAGAATACGGTGACCCTGAATCTTGGTGACTACCAAAGCAATATCTTCCTATTATAAGCACATGTCTGTGAAACCAATCTGGTCCCTCTAAACAAGCAATAAGGATTTTTTGTGCTGATGCTAAGCAAAAGACTTCTCACCCAAGAAGCTGTTTTTTTTTCCAAAGTCAATTCTTCTTTCAAATTTTATTTCCTCTAAGTAATGACTAAGAAATCACTTAAGTAACTATTAATAAACCTCTGCTAACAACTACTCTACAAAAAAAAATGGATACTGATTTCACAGAAATAAAAACCAAGTTTGCTTCAGAAGCATTTATATTATATTTATCATGGTTATAATAAAAACTCTGGTAACTCTGGGATTACATTATATATAGATGGCTCATGTACAATTATATACAGGTGCCCATGAGAGAACATTTCCCACGAGAGACCATTTAATGTTTATCTTATTAATCAATCCCTTTCAGTGCATTTTACTATTGTTTTATATTCCCTACATTTGAGAAATACAGGCTGTCTTCAAGTGGGCACATTTCCACAAACCAGCCACAGAAACTATTCCTACTCAATTTTAAAGGCACTTTTATATATATTCTATTATGCTGTAAAATTTGGATTAAAAAAAATTTCCAGATAAGAATCACTAGATATTTTTGAGAAGAAGATAAAAGACGTTTCCCGTGTAAAATCAATTAAGGTTTTTTAAAACTGATGTAGGCTAGATGCTCTGGTGCACACCTGTAATTCCAGCAACTCAGAAGGCTGAGGCAGAAGGGTCACAATTTCAAGGCCAACCTCAGTAACTTAGGGATACCCTGACTCAAAAAAAAAAAAAAAAAAAAAAATACTGGAGTCAGTGGTAAAGTGCTCATGTTCAATCCCTGGTACTACAAAAAAACAAACTAAGCTAATGCAAACTCTTCATCAGTGAAGGAAAAAAATACATGTAAATGAAAGACACAAGGCACTAAGAAAACAACCAACCTCTCTTAACATATCAATATAAGCTACTACAACTACATATATAAAGTAATTGCTTTCATTTGGGTGAACTATTTATTTTTAAAAGGCAATCTAATTCTAAAATGGATTTTCTAAGATATGCTAAAATATCTAAATCTTCTCATAATGCACAAAAAAGTACTGCACATGGAAGTCTAGAATATTTAAGTTTACCAAAATCTACAGGAAAAACACAAGAACAATCCTCCTTATTAAACAAGAGGGGATGGGCTAGGGATATAGCTCAGTTGGTAGAATGCTTGCCTCACATGCACAAAGCCCTGGGTTTAATCCCCAGCACCGCACCCGCCCCCCACCGCCGCCAAAAAAAAAAAAACCAAGAGGGGAATAAACAAGATTAAAGAAAATCTCACTCCAAAACTGACTGTGATAGGTTTGACATTCATCGTCGCATGCATATTTCACTGAAAAGTTCAAAAATAAGGATACAGTAGCACATGCCTATTAATTCCAGCAACCTGGGATGCCAGGGCAGGACAGAGGATTTCAAGTTCAAGGCCAGCCTCAGCAACTTAGTGAGGCACTAAGCAACTTTGTGAGACCCTGTCTCAAAATAAAATTTTAAAAAGGGCTACAGATGTGGCTCAGTGGTTAAGCACCCCTGAGTTCAATCCCTGGTACCAAAAAAATAAAAATAAATATATATATATTTTTTTTCACAAATAATAATCACTCTTTCAATGGGTTTTCCCTTCACTGGCTCGGCTGAAAGTCAATATACTCAAGACTTCTACCCACTGAGAGATGGAAGCCAAGTTCATTCTTCTGAGATGCCAGTGAAAGGTTTGACCCCTGATGAAGAGCATGTATATGTCTACCAAGTGTTGATGTACAGGTCAAAATAAAACTATTTCCATACTGGAGAACAACTCAAATTTGTGGGTTTAGTTGATGATTCCTATTGAAAGGATGGCATAAAGAATAACTGGAGGCGCTGTTCACTTGAGAAAGTAAAATATATATTTAATCATTACAGAACATTAATAGGTTTACTAAGTTAAAAAAAAAAGTTCCTTAGAGTTTCCTTAGAGAAAAATTTTATCACTTTTTTAAATGAGAATATAAGATATGAGCTTATATCACCGTCAAACAAAAGTTGTTCCAAGAGGAATTTTTAAAATTTTTAAATGGTATAAATATGTGTAGGTATACCTGTTTCAACATGGTGGAAATAAATTTAAAATTTCTTCAGCTCAGCTTGACAAATGCACTTTAATTATTAGAAATTAAATAAACCACAAAAAATGTAAATCAACATTACCATACTTGGTGCCTCCAAGTTTAGGTACATTGAAGAACTTCTTACTTGAATTGTCATTTAATGTTTCAATAAGGTACTCAAAGGCATATCCTGGGGGAGATAAAAAACTTTCATTAAACGTAGCTACAAAGTAAAATTACCTGGATATTAGTTTTGCCCAACAGAATCTTCTTCATTTTTCAATAAGGCAGTTATTAGCCACAGGTGGCTACCGCTCACTTGAAATGTGGCTACAGAAGCTGAGAAAATGGAATTTTTAACTTTTAAGTCACACATGGCTAATGTCCACAATACTGGACAGTATAATTTTAAACTATGACTCTTTTTCAAGCAAAATCTGGTAAGATAATTCACTCCTAAAATGTGTTTGAGAATGCCTGGAAAGAATATGAATGACTTACCCGGTTTATAGGCACGTTTTAGAAAGACATGTCCTAAAAATTGTGTAAATTCAAGATAGAACAATTTGAGAACACAACTGCTAGAATTATTTTTTAAAAACTTAAAAATTTTTTATTGCACATTCAACAACTGACAAAACCAAAACAACAACAAAAACAAACATAAGACATTCTAGGTCTTAAGGATTAAGATAAAACTGAACAACAAAACACTGAGGTAAACTAGCATATTCTCCCTAACGGTCCTTCTGGTTTGGCTGCAATTTAAGCTGAACCTCATGGTCAAAGACCTATAAACCTCACTGGTATATGCCCCAGGTCCAAATGTTCTCCAGGGAAATGGCAGGGAGGCAGCCTTGAGGTTGAAAAGAACCTTTAGATCTTTTTATGAAGACACTGCAGTGGGTGGGTAGGACCCTCAACACAGTTAGGGCCACCGTCCAAAATGAAGAGACATAAGCACAGCCCACTTTCAGAATGGCTCGTGTTTTCCTCTTTTTGTAGAGGGAGGTGGACGTGGGAAGAAATTCATAGCTGCAATCAATGATCAGAAAACAGGCTGACTACGGTTCAGCCTTGACTGCCCCTAATTCTGCTTCCAGAGACAAGAGGAAAGAGCTCGAGGCTGGGCAGTGGGCTAGACAACAAGATAGGTGGACCCAAACAAGGAGACAAGGACCCCCACCCCCATTTCTCACAAGTGGGGGGCGGGTAGGGGAAGATGGTGGGCCTCTCTCTCCCTGCACCTACTGTCACTAACTAGGGCTAGGAGGCCGCAGGCACAAAGCGGCGACCACCGGGATGAGGTAGGTGCGGGTCACAGCCGGAGGCCAGGCCTATGGCCCGACTGAGAACCCGCTAGGAGAGTGGGGGCGGGGAGGTCTGCCTTCCGCGGCCTCCGCGCAGAGCGCGGCCCAGCAGACAGGCCCCGAGGGGAGCACGAACTGAGAGCCCTGAGGGCTCCGGGCGCCGGCCGGGCGACTCTAGGCGAGAGAATCAAGGAACACGGCGCCCGGGCAGCGCGTGTCTCCAGCAGCTAGACCTAAGTCGGCGGCCCGAAACTGACCTGCACTTGGGGCGTCCATCGCCGGAGACCATATTATCCCTGCGGGGAGGGGACCGGCGGGGGAAGGAGGGGGAGGCCGGGCTGGGAAGAGGGGGAGGAAGACAGGCGGACTGGCAAGGGAGGAAGGAAGGAAGCAGTCTCGCGCAAACACCGCGAGAGCCGCAGAGCTGGCTCCGGGTCTGCGCTCGCGGGATTTGCCGCCTTACTCCCGCGAGATCTTCAGCCAAGAAACAAAGAGAAAGGCTGGAGCTTTGCCCGTAGGAGACTTCTTGCGCAGTCGCCGCTGTTCTCGCGAGTGGGGGCGGAGCTCTGGTAGGCAGTAACGTAGGCGTCTCTAGCTGCGCCGGGGTTACCTAGTGTGGCCCCGAGGGTTCGTTTGTGGGTTCTGAAGTCGAGCGGCTTGTGGCTTCCTAAGGGGTGTTTTTGGCAGTGGCTAATGGAAATCGGAACTCCTGGGGAAACAGCGTAATGAGATCCACTTAACATTAAACAGTAATATGAAGATGGCCAGACTGATCCGGCACATAGGAGGCGCTCATATTAAATGAATTTTTCCTTAAGTTCCTGTAGCGTCAACCTCTTCCTTTCCGCCGACTCCAGCAGCGGTGGATCCTTCTAGTCTACCCGTCGATCCCAGCTCTTATAATCCCTGCATTTTACCCTACCTATCTCCTTATCTCCCCGTGGTAGCCAGCTTCCCAGAAAGCCTTGCCTATACTTGCCCTTCTCCCACACTATCCCTCTACAATCTGGCTTTCACTGCCAGAAATGTTTTTGCTCAAGGTCAGTAGTAACTTGACTTGTTAATCTCATTTCTTAATTCTTACTCTACCTTCATTGAAACATGCGTTTTCATCAGTTTCTGTGACTCCAGGCTTTTTTCTCTTCTTTTTCTTACCCATAAAGGTGCTTCGTCTTAGTTCTCTTTGCAGGCCCCATCTTTGGCCCATCCATTAAATATAGTGGACCTTAAATAACTAAGGGTCCTCCCTTGCTCCTTCTGTCACTTCATTTTCCCTGGCCTATCTCATTCCCACTTTCACTTCAATTATTAATATGTTGATGCTTCGTAGCCTACCTGTAACAACCCCATCTCCTAACCCAGAGGTACTTGCAACTGTTGGGTACTTCCAACATTCCACAGGCATCTGGATGCAAAATCTCCAAAACAGAACTCCTCATTTCCCCCTAAAATTAATTATTTCTTTTGTTTTGCTGTATCTTTTGTATAGCATTGCTATCCACCCAGTTGCCCAGGCCAGAAACTGGCACATTAACCTGGACACCTTCACCCTTTTCCTTTAATCATTGACCCACATGCTGTCAACCAAGCCCCAATTTCCTCTATTTATTCACGTTTCTAGAGATTTCCCTTGCTACCCACTCAGGTCTAGACAGCTGTGACAATCTTCTCCTCAAAAGACCGTAGCACATTAGTACTCACAATCTCCATTTTACCTCAGAAGGTACTAAAGGTAATCCTGAAAACTAACTTACCGTATCCAACTCAGCTACCAAGTGACTGACTATAAAAATGGGAACTCAATTCAAATGGATATACAAGGTCACATGCTTAACTTGGACTTTTGTGATCTGGTATGTCATGCCTATTGTTCATACCTTACACTCTGAACACCTGAACACCTTACACCTCAAACCCTGAACACCTGAAGGCAGAGTGATCTCTATCCCTCTGGAACACCTTATTTGCTGTTCCCTCTTGGAACATTCTGCTGTGCACTATTGGACTAACCCCTACTCATTCGTAAGAAGTTCACCCTCAGTCCATTTATTCCTATAGGAAATCTTTACTAACTACCACCCAGTCTGAGCTGGGAACATGATAAAATGCTTCCCTAGCATTCTTTATTAAAGCACTTAATTGTACTTGATTGTAATTGCCCATTTATTCTATTGCCCATGTCTCAAGTGCTTTTAGCTGCATACAAGAGAGTACCCAACTAACAGTGTTTTAAACAACACAGACCTGTAATTATCTCACATAAGGAAGTCCACAATAGGCAGTTTCATAATTGGTACTGAGATAGATATTTGGGGAACTATATATAGAGAAGTATACTGAGCCTTGAAGGAAGCACCATAAACCTGGCATGTGCCAAATCTTCAGCATCACGTGTAAATAAATAAAAAAATAAAGGTACATCAACAACTAAAATAAAATATTTTAAAAAAACACCTAGGTTCATGCCTTATGTTGGCCCTATGCAGTTGGTTTTTGTTCCTCAGGCTGTGTTCCTCATCTCATAGTTGCAAGATGACTATAGCAGAATGTCATCCTTCCAAAAGCAGGAAAAAAGTGATAAGAAGCCCTCTTTTTATCAGAAAAACATTTTTTTTTCCTGAAGATCTTAAACAGATTTCTCATTGACCAGAAATTAGACTGGTATATCTCCACCTTATTAAACCAACACCTCTTCTTTATGACAAATATTTTGTAATGTCTCTTTTACTATCTGGCATGAAATTCACAAGTAATATAGTCTACACACAACAATAAAATAACCAATGCCTTAAATGCAATATAAAGGAGAAGAAAAGAAAAATAATTCATTAGAAAATAATATATATCATGTAGATGCATAGGTATGTCTGTGTTAGATGACATAAAGGAGTATGTATACTTATAATGAATGAATGTGGACTTACAGAATATAATATTCAACTGAATATAGTCAACATTTTTGTTTACATTTGACATTTCAAAATAAAGACAATGCATACATTATAGCATGCACAATTAGTTATTAAGAATGCATAATGTAATTATATATAGTATATGTACATACAAACCATCAATAGCCAGCTTACATGGAGACTAATAAAAAATGTTGTATTTAATCAAATATTGGAAGTGTTGTAGCTGTGAATGTAATTTTTCTAAAATAGTGAATAACTCTTGGTAATGTTATAGAACAAAATAAGCTGGGTGCTGTGGCACACATCTATAATCCCAGCAGCAAAGGAGGCTGAGGCAGGAGGATCATGAGTTCAAAGCCAGCTTCATCAACGTAGCGAAACCCTGTCTCAAAAATAAGAAAGGGCTGGGTGATTTAGTGCATTCCACTATTGTCATGTATGTAAGAAATAAAAATAAATAAATAAATAAGAAAGAAAGGGCTGGGGATATGGCTCAGTGGTTAAGCTCCTCTGGGTTCAATCCCTGGTACCAAAACAAACAGACAAAAACCCAGAAGAAAATAAAATACAACCTTCTCGCTTTTTCCAGAGTAGTTGTATCTATATCTGGAAAATTATTAAAACCACAAACAAGTAGTTTAGTTTTTATTTGTAAATGGGGTTAAGTTTTAGTCTCATATAAACAATTCTGTTGTTTTTTATATGCTTATGTGTGTGTTTACCTACCTGAATATCTGACAGATGTTCAATGGGGGATCTTGTCTGTTTCTTTGCTGTACAATTTCTGTCTTATAAAATACAGACAATCTAATAACAATCATTAAATGCCAAAAATGTCCTCACGATGACAACCAAAATCACCCTACCATTTTCCCCAAATCCTGCTTACATTGAGAAACACTGAAACTTAGATCAATTATGATGTGTCCCCTATGGCTGGACTCATTGCTTGCATAAAAAAAAATGTATTGAGATTTAATTCTTATTTTAACTGAGAGTGAATACTCAAAACTTCACCCAAATTACTCGTTTCTTAAAATCATTTTTTCTTAATTGAATCTGTTTATCTGAAGAAAACCAACACATTGAACAAGTTATAATATATAGTCCCTGGCTTACATGGAATTATGACTGCTTTCAACAATTACTGGAGTCTTTTCAAAGAAAGTCTAAACTGCATTTGATTATGTAACAAACTGAAGACAACCACAAAATTGGCATTTTTAAAGTAGTCCATATACCCAGTACTAAAGGTAATCCTGCAAACTAACTTATTTTTTCTAACTCTTCCCTAAGTAATTCCATCAACATTTTTGTTTACATTTGACATTTCAAAATAAAGACAATGCATACCTTATAGCATGCACAATTAGTTATTAAGAATGCAAATGTATGTATATATAGTATATGTACATACAAGCAGTATAGCAAAACATTAAAAGTTCCCAGTACTCATCCTAAGAATTAGGCATTCTTCTTTGATTTTTTTTCTTCTCTGTTTCTTCCTTTCCCTTTTCTGTTTAAGTTACTTGTAATTCAATTTCTTTAACACTAAACATTGATTTCTTATTATAGCCAGTTCAATGTTTTTTCCACCAGACTAGACAACTTTTAGCAAAACTCTTATTGCTAATTTGATAACTTCATTGTCATTTCCTATAGCATCTTCTGTGTGATTCTTTTCTAGAAATTCTGGGACCGTTTTAGCACTTGGGCCTATTGCATTTACTTTCTATGCATTGTAAGTACCAGAGGGATCTGTCTGATATAATCTTAGGATACCATCATTATCAAAACCTACAATTAAGGCAGAGATATTAAAAGGCTTTTTTCTATTGGTCTGAGTATATTTCTGCTTTAAAGTTGCTATGAAGCGAGTTATATATTATTCTACAGTGACAGGGTCCTCAATTGTAAGCTTATGGCTCTGGCACTCAACCCGGGCTCTGTTTATTACAACTCTACCATCAGCAGTCAGTCCTCCAAAAGCCATGCAGATGTGATCATCAAGCGCAGTTCTTTTAAGCTGGGCAACATTTTTTTTTTCCTACTCCAAGCACATCTATATTGATGCTTTGAATTCCAACCACAGTGGATTATTTCTTCACTGCTTCCTGGGCATATTCCATCTGGAAAAGTTGTCCATCTGGAGAGAAGACAGTGATTGCCTTGTTGTACTGAGATACCATCCATAGGACTAATATTCCAGCGAGCCTAAGATTCTACTGGAGCTGAAGCTGGCTGGGAATGGCTTATAATACCATATGCTAACACCCAGAAACCTTAATTCTTATACCATAAAATTCACCCGATTTAATCCTATTTATTTTGTAATACTTGCATGCAGTTTATGAAATAATAAAGGCCCCATATATTCACCACCCAGTTTTCCTTTGTGTAACATAGTACAACATCCAAATAAAGAAACTGACATTGATATAATCCTTCCACCTATTCCGACTTCAGCAGTTTTATATGCATTCCTTTGTAGC